GGGGGGCCGGGACCCCCCCCCACCGCTCTCCCCTGCAGGGGCAGGAGGCAGAAGCTTGATCCTGCGGCAGCCAAGCTTCCCTCTCCCGTTTCTTCCCACAGCGTGGTGCATTCTGGCCCCTCCGCCCCTCCTCCTCCTCTCAGTGGGCAGCAGCGTGCCACTCAGAATCGGCTCGCGTGCCGTGTTTGGCACGCGTGCCGTAGGTTGCCGACCCCTGATATAAACTATCCAAAAATGGAAACCAGATCCACATCTACAAAAGGATACAGTGTATTTCTTGAATTCCTTCTCCTGAAGTTGTGTTAAGCCTTTGCAATAGTCTCATCTGTACAGAAAGTTAGGGGAAATTTCAAGCTTTTTCATTACTTTATAAATCAATCTAATACAATAAAATAAACCCAAAACAATGCTGCTGCTGCTGAATTTGGGAGGAGTGGTGGAGAAAGGAACAAGGACCATGATCTAACGGTGAACTAGCCAGCAACTTTTTTTTTAAATGCTAAAATTAGTTTTAAAGAGTCATGGAAACATTAGCTCTATAAATACATTGTCTGCGTTATGTCTAAGGTGGTGGTGTCTTAGTTTTCACTGCAATAACACTGAAATGCTAGCCTACCATGCTAGACAAATATGGGCTACTTCAGGTAAGTATCCCTGGGGCACTTCTGTCTTATTGCTATTGATTAACTTTGAGAGGCAAAAAAGGAGCATTTTTCTGTGCTGGGAACTTGCCAGGAGAGCTGGCAGTTTCTCAAAGAGACAGTATTAAAAGTACAACAGCAAACTATCCTGATGCAAAGGAAAGATAAGAAAAATTGTAAAAGGCTCCATCAAGAGCTCTTTAATGACCTGAAAATCAAAAAGCAATCCTGCAAAAACATGAACGAATTGCTATGGATGAGTACAAAAGAATAGCACATGCATGTAGAAACAAAATCAGAAAGGCTAAGGCACAAAATGAATTACACCTAGCAAGGGACATAAAAGGTAATAGGTGGTTTTAGAAATACATTTGGAGCAAGAGAAAGATGAAGGAAAATGTAGGTCCACTACTTAGCTGGGAAGGAAAGCTAAGAACAGATGACATCAAGAAGGCTGTGGTGTTTAATGCCTATTTGGCTTCAGTCTTCATTAAGAGGGTAAATTCTAACCAGATACTTAACACAAGTAATATTAACAATAGGGGGGAAGGAACACAAGCCGGAACAGGGAAAGAGAAGGTTAAAGAATATTTATCTAAAATTAGATGCAGTCAAGTCGGCAGGGCCTAATGAAATTCATCCTAGGTTACTTAATGAACTAGCTAAAGCAATCTTGGAACCATTAGTAATTATCTTTGAGAAATCCTGGATGACAGGTGAGGTCCCAGAGGACTGGAGAAGGGCAAACATAGTACCTATCTTTAAAAAGGGGAACAAACGATCCAGAGAATTATATAGTAGACACCCTAACCTCAATACCTGGAAAAATACCAGAACAAATTATTAAACATTCAATCTGTAAGCATCTAGAGGACAATAGGATTATGAAGCATAGCCAGCATGTATTTGTCAAGGTCAAACCTACCTAATTTCCTTCTTTGACAGGGTTACTAGCCTAGCGGATAGGGGAGAAGCAGTAGATGCGACGCATCTTGATTTTAGTAAGGTTTCTGATGCAATCCCACATGACTTTCTCATAAGCAAACTAGGGAAATTAAGTACAAGTTAAATTGCTACAAATTAGATGCCTAAGTGGTTGAAAGACCATACCCAAAGAGTAGTTATCAATGGCTGTCTGTCTGTCAAAATGAGCAGATGCATCTAGTGAGGTCCCACAGAGGGTCAGCCATGGTTTCAGTACTAGTCAATCTTTTCATTAATGACTTGGCTAATGGAGTGGAAATTATGCTTATAAAATTGGCAGATAACACAAAGTTGCACTTTGGAGGACAGCATTAGTATTCAAAATAATCTTGACAAATTGGAGAACTGGTATGAAATCAACAAGATGAAATGCAATAAAAACAAGTGCAAAGAATTTCATTTAAAAAGGAAAAAATTAAATGAACAACAAAAATGGTGAATAACTGGCTAGGCAGTAATACTGCTGAAAAGGATCTGGAGATTAGAATGGATCACAAATTGAATGAGTCAACAATGTGATAAAGTTGTGAAAAAGGCTAATATTCTGGGGTGAATTAACAGAAGTGTCATGTGTAAAACAAAGGAAGCAACTATCCTGCTCTAATTGGCATTGGTGAGGCCTCAGCTGAAGAACTGGATCCAGTTCTGGATGCCGCACTTAAGAAAAATGTGGACAAATTGGAGACAGTCCAGAAGACAGCAACAAAAATGATAAGGTTTAGAAAACCTGACCTATGAGAAACAGTTTTAAAAAAACTGGGCATGTTTAGTCTTGAGAAAAGAAGACTATGGGGCGAACTGATAAGCTTTCAGATATGTTAAGGGCTGTTATAAAGAAGACAGTGATCATGCATTCATCGTGTTCACTGAATGTAGAGCAAGACCAGCAAGGAAGATTTAGGTTAAATATTCAGAAATCTTCCTAATTATAAGGACAGTTAAGCACTGGAATAGGCTTCTAAGGGAGGTTGTGGAATCCCCATCACTGGAAGTCTAACCCGTTCTTAAAACAACAAAGAGGTTGGACAAACACCTGGCACAGATGGTGGAAGTTTACTTGGTCCTGCCTCAGGGCAGGAGGCTGGGCTAGATGACCTCTTGTGATCCCTTCTAGCCCTACATTTTTACAATCTGATATTGTAGAATCAAAGAGCTCCTTCAAGTGCAATTCTTTTTTTTAAAAAGTGCTTATTTAACAATGATATTGTGGACCTCTTAAGGACTTTAAGATCAAATCAGTTTCTAATATATAAGTAAACAGGATGTCTTTTCAAATTGTGGGCATATTCAGCCTGTGATTTGAAAGCCAAGATAAATATTTTTCTTGCTCTGACATGACCAGTAACAAAGATTCTGAAATCAGGACTTTCATTAGACTTCCTCATCTTCATATGTTAGTAGCTTTCCCAATCAATACATCTGTTCTCTGTGTATAGACAGTATCATATCCACTCATTTTTCTGAAATAAGTGTGGATTGTTTTTCACTTAGAATCATAGAATATCAGGGTTGGAAGGGACCTCGGGAGGTCATCTAGTCCAACCCCTGCTCAAAGCAGGACTAATCCCCAGACAGATTTTTACCCCAGTTCCCTAAATGGCCCCCTCAAGGATTGAACTCACAACCCTGGATTTAGCAGGCCAATGCTCAAACCACTGAGCTATCCCTCCCCCACGATTGCCCTGCAGAAGTAGCCTAGCTATGAAAGAAAGTTTACCTAAAGTCTTGTCTACACAGGGACACTCAGGAAAATTAATCCAAATTAGCGAAAGGTGGGTTAGTTAAACGGCATTAAACCCATGTGGACACCCTCATTCTACCCTTAATTCTGTTTAGCTTAATTACACACAAAGAGCAGATGTATTAAGAAAGCTGGTAACATGTGAAGAGGAGGAAATCTAATGAGAATCCCGACATGACTTTTGCTATGCTAAGCCACCACTAGAATATGCATGAAGAGGTCAGTAAATGTTTAACTTGGTAAAGAAAGCTTTGATTTGAACTTCAGCCACTGGTTCCATTGTTATATAAACAAGGCCAGTGCCGTTTTATTAATCTCTCCTATTTACTCTTTAAAAAAAGTAAACTTGAATACCTGGAAATTATGCACATTACTAGTCTATGCTTCCGAGGGCAATTCCAAGTGTTGGTACCATTGTCTCCACTTTCCCATACCCCCCCTGTTAATTCGCTTCATATGAACTCTACAAAGGTGCAGGGGTCTGCCTGCATACAGCTAATTACATGATCAGGGACCTACATTGTGAATTTTGGGGAGCAGGGACTGTCTCTTACTATAGGTTTGTACAGTTTGTACAGTGCCCAGCACAATAGGGTACCAATACTGACTAAGGCCTTGAGGCACTACTGTAATTCCAATAACAACAAGAGGATGAGAGAGAGGTAGGCTTACAATTAAGTTTCTTTTTTTAAAGTCAAATAATGCTTGCATTTTGTTAAATGAACAAAAATGTAAAACTTGCCCTTAACCACTTGATTTCAAATTCCCACTAGTGTAAATTTTGTAACGAGATATTTAAAAAAAAATTGCAAAATGTAAGGATGAACACACAAGTATAATAATTTTATGTCATATACCACGTGGCATGCGGCAATTACTCCTACCATCATAACACTTAGAAAGTGGCTGAACAGAGGTTTTCAGAATAGCAGACTAGAAGTTGAGCACATTTAAAACTGGCCAAAATAAGTAAGACCATTCCGTTATCCAAGAGAAGGCTACTTCCTCTTTGTTCCTCCTCTACAGTCCCTTTGTCTCATTCTATTTCACTCGATAATTTCAGTGTCAAATTCTGCTCCCACTTTACACCTGCTCAATGCCACTGAAGATAACAGGGTTTAACAGTTATAACTGGAAGAGGAATTTAGCCCTTCATTTAATTATCACACCTCTAAAATAAGTGTTTTAAGTGCCATATATCACTTTTTACTACCATTTCATTCTGCCACTGACTTACATAGAAAAGAAATAGGAATTGCATAAATGATGGTTTTCTTGAGGGCATGAAGTTTTATTCACCTCTCCACTTATAGTGTTTAAAATGAGTCACAAATACAAAAAGCAGTTACAGTATGTATAAAATGATCAAATATACCAGCATCTCTAACTGCAACCTTCTGTTAAATTTACACTGGGAAGATTGACATGAGAAAGAGGGGTTTGCTTTTAGATAAGGAAGAAGGGAAAGGCATTTTAAGCCGCTTCTGCTCCTTTACTGTGGCCATGCAACATGAGACAGAAGATGCTTCAGGCAACATTTTTTTTTTCTAGATTTCAGTTAAAACCAGATCTGGGACAAAGGTCCTCATGGCCATCTTGACAAGTCAGAGAGAGATATGCAGCTAAACATGAGATTAATGAATCATAAAAGGGCAGGAATGAGTCAACAGATTAGAGAGTTAAACAAGTTTAACATTGAAAACCTCTAAGTAGGTGAAAGGCCACAGCTCTTGCAAAACTGACCCAGAAGCATAAACATTCGTAAAAGAAGTCATGATGCATGAAGTCTGGGACTGCCAAGTACAGTTAACTGCTGCAAGCACAGGGATCAGGCAAACAAAATAGTTTCAAACAAAATATCAGCCAAACTGTACAGACAGTGTGTTTTCTTGAAATTCTAGTGTCACGCACTGTATCAGCTTCCTCTATTCTTACAGTTTGTTACCAGACTCTCCATCTTTCTGAAGTTTAAAGTTCAGCCAGTTTAATTTGCAATGGGCTGAAACTCAGTACACGGTTTTGTCAGCGAGGAGACAAATTATACGATGAAACCATGTCTAAACCACCAAGCCATTGAGCTTTGAAGCATTCAAAACAAAAACAACACAATGTCATGTGAACTGGAATAATTTTTAAAAAGCTCCATTTTTTAATCTTTTCTGTAATAATAGTTTAGGCCTTTGCAATAGTGCTTTTCGGTGGTGTCCAGATACAGTTCTCTTGAAAGAAGTTCAGAACAGTTAAGTGTCTAAAGCAGATCTTAAAAAGCAATTTAGGTGATGCATCGGTGCTGAAAGGTGAAAGCTGATGTGGAGATGGCAAAACTTCACTAAAATCAGCTGTGAAAATCGTTCAAGCCTCAGTCACTACCTAAGCTCAATAACAGTTGTCAACAACCAATTAAAGTTTTGCCCTGTCTACACTGGCTGGTACAGTGGTGTGAAAAATTATCAGGGGCCTTCCATTTAAAAAAAAAATCTGATTTGCCAAATTTAGTACTGGGACAGCAAAATTCTAAGCCACTGAAGTATGCAGGTTACATCAAAAGAGGCTTACACTTTCTTTGTTACAGCAATCTCCTAGGCACTGCTGCAGAGAAGCACAATGGTGCGTTATTCTGCTATTTATTTTTAAAAGGTTTCCGTTTCTTGTAGAAGCTTTCAGCTGGGGAAAAATATCACAAGAGCTTGACAGACAAATTTACATATGATGTGTGGGAAAGAAGACAGAAACTTTCAGACTATCACGGTTTCTGCCTCATAGACACACTTCCAGCAGCTTAAATAGAGATGACATAACTCCCCCCCCCAAAGTCTCTCCTTCAGCAATAGCTTCCTACACTAATCTCCTGTCTAGCTAATCCTTCTCTTCTTCATGCATCTGAATTCTTGTCCTGTATATTTTAATAATCTAAATTAAACTGTATGCCCTCCAGCACACACACTTTGGCATTCCAAATGATTTTTAAAACAGCATGTACATTTATGACACAATATAAAGACAGGCAGGCTGCAGGGACCAAATATAGGTTCCTTTGCAAACACCTAGATCTTCCGTTAAGAAAGAGACACATCAGCAAAGCCCAGCACAAACCTCTCTGTGCAAAGTGGTTTGCTTCACTAGGGAATGTCCAATTTTTTTTAATATTAATGTTTGATAGACATGTCTGATTCAATAAATGTGTAATCAGAAGTTTCACTTAATTTAATAAGATCAGCAAAAACAATATGTACTGGGTTTTGTAAACAGTAATTTGATAGCACCCTGTTAAGGAAAGAGCTGATGCCTATATTACTGTATAATGTTTCTCTAATCAAAAGCTCACTGATGTAATTATTTTAGTTCTCTCTGATATTTACATAGCAATGATTAGTTAACCTGTTAAAACTTTCGAAAGAAAGAGGCAATATAGTCAGTGACCTGAACAGTCAGAGAAAAGTCTGTTTCATGTCAAGAGGAGAAAGTGTAGGGTTGATGTAGCTACAGCAAGCTGAACAGGTCCCTAGAGTAACGCATCCAGTATTGGATATGCAGTCCCAGAAGTGTGACGGTAGTGGGCTTCAACATAGAGGACAGGTGTATTCATGGCCCTGCAGCTTCCTCTCCTGCATGCATTCCTATTGTTACACACTAGGTAACTATGGGCCCACTTTTCCCCTTCCACCAAGCTTCAGGGCTCCCATCCGCAGCACATCTCAACTGAAACAGTAGCCACTGGAGTCAGTAAACACTAGCTCCCACATCCTGTGACAGAGGTACTGACCTGTAGAATTCTGTCCCCTGTCATGGGTCGGGGACTAGGAAGTAAAGCAGAGTCTCTCCCTGTATTATTGATCATTTATGCACCAAATCAGCAGGTTATCAACAATTACTTCTGTACCTCTGTGCCTCCAGTGGTTACCGACACACTCAGACCCCTTACCCAGTCCCCCTAACTCCCACACTGGCCCCACATTGTTAGCACTCCCCTTCTCGGCCCCCATCCCCAGCACCTCCCACCCTGAGCACCCCACTCCCTGTGCCCCCCAACACCTGTCCCAGCCGCATCCCACTCCTTGGCCCCACCCCCCATCCTTCTCCCCATCACCCCAAGATCCCTTCACTCCCCACCCCTCTCGTCCCTGGCGCCCAGGGCTCCCCCACGGCGGCGGACCCTGCCCGGGCGCACCTCGGTGACGATGGTGGAGAGGTAGAGCTCCCGGCTGTACTCCCAGCCGTCCAGGCACTTCTCCAGCTCCAGCTGACTCAGATCCACATCCCTGCCGGGCTGCAGCCCCAGCGCGGAGAAATTGGCCAGCGACTCCAGGCGGTAGCGGCGGCACCTGCTGGGCCCCTCCCGGCCGCCCTGCACCTGGCGGGGGATGCTGGCGTTGAGCCACTCGCGGCTCAGGTTGGCGCTGGGGGGCACCCGGCAGCGGTGCTCGGGGGCGCCGGCCAGGAAGACGATGGAGAGCCCGGTGAAGCCATTGGGGACGATGCTGGCGCTGAGCAGGAAGAAGATGAGGCGCTGGAAGGGGCCCCACTCGCCCAGGAAGGCGGTGACCCCCTCGTAGTCCTGCATGGCGGGGCGCAGCCGGCGAGCAGCGGCCGCGCAGCGCTTGGGCCCGGCGCTGAGGAGCGGCGGCGGCGGCTACACGCGGCCCCTTCTGGCGCGGAGAGGGAGCGGCCGCCCGAGCGCTCCCAGGGCCGGCCGGGGGGCCGGGCCCGGCGGGGGAAGGGGGTGGGGCTTTCCCACCAGGGCCCACGCGGGACAGGTGGCGTAGCCCCCGCCCTCTCCCTGCTGCCCGGGCTGGGCAAGGCAGGCGCTGGCTTAGGGCGTCCCGCCCCCGAGGTCTGGCGCTGCCCATCCTGGGGGCGCTGCTGAGCCCAGCCCAGCTCCTGGGCGCTCTCCCTGCGGCAGCCCCGAACACGCCGCGCTGTGGAGACGTCCGGCTTCCAGAGCCCCGGCTCCGCAAATGGGCGCGAAAGCTGGTGGGAGCCAGGCCGGGGCTCCAGGCACAGCCGGGGGCGGTGACACTGCCCGTCTTCGCAGTGCCGAAGGGGAGCAGCCGGGCCCTGCAGCCACAGAGCTTGGCCCTGGGTAGGAGACAAGCTACAGCCCCTGGTTTGTAAAAGATCTGTCATCTTTCCCCTACCTGCCCCCAGTTGGAAGGCCTGGGCCTGAGTCTCCTTCCTCCTTGTGTGGCCATTTGCCCCCCGTGCAAAGTAAAGTCCCAATCTAGGTCCATTGTGCAGGTTCAGCCACTCTAGGGCCACTTCTCCCCTGAAGTGTTTACAGTCTAGTTTAAGACAAAGTGTAACAAGTGGGAGAATAATGGAGGAAAGATGAGGAGAGCAGAGACAGCTCAAGACAATGTACTACCCCCCCCCCGAAGTGCCATAGGCATAGCTTTAACAGGAGATGAATTTACCATAAAAAAAATGCCTATAATATTCACGATACATCTGCCACGGCCCAGTCTGCCATACACTGTCTACGTGCACCATGCTAACCCGCATTAGCAGTTCATTAATGGGCTTTGATCTAGTCCTCTCTGAAAGGAGACTCCATCTGCCCTCCCCTCCGAGCGAACCCATCTGGGTGTCAATCTGAAGGGCACCCTAGGATACAGGGGGAGCAGCACCAGGCCAGAAGGGGGGTCCCTGATATGAGGCTGGAGGGAGAGGGGGGCATGTAATACATGGGTGGAACAAGGCGGGATAACATTGGCCGGGGACTGAAACCTGGACACAGATGGAGTGCAGGCCAGGACTCAGAGGGAGATGAGTACATGGGAAAGATGGGGTGCGGTTTAGGACACAGTGGGGGACAAATGGAGTGGGGGGTACTAGGGACAGATGGGTGGGGAGGCTAGGAATATGGGGCAAGGAGCAGACCACAAGGCAGATGGGGTGGGGTAGGATGCTAGAAGGGGGCCTATGGGATGGGGTGGTAGAACCCCAGGGTCAGACAGGATCAGGGCATAGGACTCAATGGATCAGTAGCCTGGGGTAGGAAGAGTGGGCAGCCCCCAGGGGTTCAGGGGCAGATGAGGTGGGAGATAGATGCAGGAGCAGTACCCTGGGTGCCATATGGGTGATTTAGTGCATCTGCCCTCCCCTGAAATGAATGGCACATTCCATGGACCACACATGTAATTCAACAGGGCATTAGTAACTTGGTTGGGCTGTGTTGCGTATAGAGATGTTTATAGAGCGTTGCACAAGACCTTTCCTGTGCTGCTGCAGGCCTCATTTCCAACGATGTAGTTCCTTGAAAAGCCATTCATGGCAACTGAAAGAAGCTGCCATGGAGCAAAACCAAATAAACCTTGAAGTGTTGCACAACTATTTGCAATCTTATTCACATTTACAGTATCTGAGACAAAGGTAAAGCAGCCTCACTTAGCAGTGAAACATTGTCGCCCAAGTGGCTAATCAAAGTTTGGGGCCCTGGCAATGTTCAATTTGGGAGTAGAAATCAGTGATGGTTAGATATTGTGTTGATAAAGTTTTGTTTATTTACAAAGAATGTAAAAAAACCTTTGTGACTCTGAATGCAGAAAGTATCAAATAGCAGGAAACAGGTTTTTTTGCTCAGAGACCCAAGACCACTCTTTTCAGCCTGAACCTCTGACCCAAGAAATCTCTCCCTAGGTTTCTTCCAGGGTCAGACCCGGCTCTCAGCTGCTCCTTGTGGCTAGGTTGTCTCTGCTCATGCATGCACATATCCAAAACAATACTCAGCAAAACCCCTCTGCCTTCTTAGTCCAAAAATTTCTGGGCAGGTTGGTTCACAACCCCCCTTTTGTTTTAGGTGGGAGGCTTGTGATTAATTTATCCTGGCAGTTATGTTAATTGATGAATGTGTTACACTCAAAGAGGTTCGTGATGTAAGCAGTCACTACTTCTCAGCATAACAATATTTTATCTCAAACAGCATTAATATATCTCTTTGATGAAAATTTAACTTTTACCAGGTAATAAAACAACTAAACTTTAAGAATCTGTATTTACAGAGTTAAAATTTACACACAAGGTCACAAAGTCAAAGGAAAGGAGAACTAAGAGGCAGACTTATCACCTCACTAGATATGATTCAGAGGGGGTCTATGCAAGCAGATCTAATAAGGGTAGATTCCACAAGGAAAGCCGAGGCTGTAGCGCTTCAGTGTAGAATCACTACAGCCACAGGAGGGGTTCTCCCAATGGCATAGTTAATCCACCTCACTGAAAGACGGTAGCTATGTTGATAGAAGAACTCTTGATAGAAGACAACCTACTGATGTCTACACCGGGGGATAGGTTGGCATAACTATGTTGCTCAGTTGTGTGTGTGTGTTTTTTTCACAGCCCTGAGCGATGTAGCTGGGTTGACTTAACTTTTGAGTATAGGCCTGGCCTACCCCTGCCCCTCTGCTGTGCTGGTGTGTTAAAGGTAAAACGGTATTTTTCATTCAGCCACTGTCCCCCAAAAGCACCAAGAGAGTCAGAATTTCTCCCTAGGGCTCCAGAAAATGCTAAAAAAAGAGACAGGCTGCTGAACTTCCCCAAACACATTGGCCCCATAGGGTGTGGTTTTTCCAGCCAGCAGTTTGTACAGCCATCGCCCCACAGCTGGCTGCGTTCAGTAGCACTAAACAGCCCAAGTTCCGGGACATTCCTACTTTTTTAAAAGGAGCGACAGAGCATACTGCACCATGTGGTAGCCTCGGCTTTCCTTGTGGAATCTACCCTTATTAGATCGGCTTGTCCCCCACTTTGTTGGCTAGGGCAGAATTTGGCCTCAGCATTCTAAATCTCATACAATATGTGTAATGCTCAACAGAGTGGGCTAATAGGCTCATACTCTTAGCTGAGTTTCTTTGCTTATGAGTATAAATCAGACCCTGGGCATGACCTTTTTATGGTAGTACTGTATTTAGAAAAAGGTGCCTGTAAATCTTTTAAAATAAATAATTACTTAAAACATGGAAGAAAACACCACCTACGGTTTCAAGCACAGGGATTCTATTCTACTCAGGGCTCAAGAAAAAAAAAAATCAGCACAGGTCTGTGGCTTGGTCTTTCCTGAGTTTAGCTACAATGCTGCTCTCTGTGAAGGTGAGCACCTGTTCCAGATGCAGATTTTATTTGCTCATTTTTAATTTTATTTCCCATTTGGGAACTTATCCCTATGATTCTGCTTTAAGAGGAGGAGTGAAATTTGGCTCAGGGATTGCTCCAAAAATATTGCAGGGGATGAGGACTCTCCCTGCTGTCAAAAAAAGAGGACAAGGCTTGTCATCTCTACTGCGTAGGGCCTCTATGACCAAAATAGATTTGCATTTCCCCTGGAAGGTGAAGCCTAAGATATTAGTAGTGAATCTCTGTGAGCCTGTTACGAGGGTGACCAGATGTCCCAATTTTATAGGGACAGTCCCAATTTTTGGGTCTTTTTCTTATATAAGCTCCTATTACTCCCCACCCCCGTCCCGATTTTTCACACTTGCTGTCTGGTCACCCTAGCTGTTACTGAGGTGGAAGCAGGGGGCTGAGTCCAGCAGCCCTGTAGCACACTCTCCAAAACCCTCCAACTACAACCTGAATAGGGGGTGGAGACGGAGGAGGTGGCTGAGCTGCACACCCAGCACAGGATCCAGGCACAATCTTTCTAAGTTTTGCTGAGCTTCTCTGCTGGCTCTGTTGGTTCATCCAAACCCTGACCTGGGGAGGGAAGGGGAGAGGGAGGGGTCTACACGGGGAGGCATGGCAGCACCGCTCTTGGAAGCTGCAGGGTTTGAAGCAGGCCTGGGCCTTTTAATTCCTTGTGTCGGCTTTTCCAATCCTGCCTGCCCCCTTTTCTTTCGAAGGGCAGGGCACTCCCACGCACAATAGGTTTCTGAGATAGTGTCTGAACCTTGCTCGTGGAGCTAAATCTTTCCACTCTGCCAGGCTCTTTTCCTGCAGTCTTGCCCTCTGAAGGGTAAAATGCATTCTGCCCCCAGCTCCCCAATGAGACATTATTCAACAAGGGGGGGAAGCAGGAGACACAGCCCTTTCCTTCTGTCTTTGGCTCTCTCAGTCTGGCTCTCTCCCTGAAGCCTGCATCATCTGCTGCAAGTGCCTCAGAGCAGGAAGTGGAGCTGAGGGGAGAATCTCCTCAAAAGAGAAGTGCAGCCCCAGGACATGGCTGGGAATTAGACCAATCATTGAGCTGAATTTTAGTCTGACATTTTGAATAAAAGGTTGGAATTTCCCCAGGCTGAAGTACTCATTGTAGTGGAGTTGTGGACCTTAGCATAATGAGGAAAGAGATGATGTCTGAGACCTTAAAGGCCCCTGTAGACTTTGCCCAAGCAGTGCTTTCATGGGTGATGATTTTGCAGGCATGGTCCCTCTCAACTTAAAATCCCACTGTTTAAAGGGCTTCTCTCTCTGAAAAAGATAGTGGTACACAAATCTGTTTCATGCAGGTAGATGGAGTTGTGGTCCCTGAGAATAGGTGCCCCAGGCAACTCAGTTCCTGGCTCTTAGTACTCCAGTGGGGAACATTTCCGAAAGTGGAGGCTAATCAGAGAAGTAGAGATTTAACCCTGCCTGGCCCTGCCCAACTCCACAGAAAGGAATACTATCAGATGGCAAGTTGAAGCAGTCCCTGAAGTAGATCAGGAGAG